GATGGGCCCTTGCAGGGGGGGGCCAGATGCGCTCTCCCGTTGCATGGAGGGGTGTAGCACGGCGGGTTGCCGGGAGTGGGATTGTGTCCCATGGCGGTAGGACCCAGGGCCACCTGGGGGTGGGGGGAGCAAGTGGTATTGCAATTTTTTTTATGGAAGGGGCCCCCGAAATTGCTTTGCCCCAGGCCCCCTGAATCCTCTGGGCAGCCCTGCTAGGACCCGCACTCCATTAGGAAGGTGGGTCGCTCTGGGCTGCGTGTGAACCCAGCCAGTGGGGCTGAACCTCTTGTGCAAGGCAGGCGCCTGGTGAGTGCCGTGATGAACATCCGAGATCTGTCAATCCGCTGAAAGCAGTGATGTCAGTCACAGCTCTGAGCACTCGGGCGCCGGCTCTGTGCGCGGGTCTCGCGCTGCCCGGCCAGGGTGGGAGGTATTCGCTGCTCCCCTGCTCCCAGGGTGCTTACAGGGGGCAGGTGACTCGAGCTGGTGCTGTCTATGGTACAGCTGGTGGAGACTTAAGGTCCCAGCATGCAGTGTCCCCGAGCAATCTCAATCTCAGCCGCTTCCTGCTCTTACAGAGAAGCCGTGTGTGTTGGGGCTGCAGCCTGTGCTTTAGCCGCGTTTCTCATGGGGGGCTTTGTGCTCAGTCAGTATATGTGCTGCTGGGCCCCACGCTGCCCCCCTGCGGGATTGGGGTCCCAGGTGGCCCTGTGTGATACTCACCCGCTGCCCTGTGGCCCCTTCCAGGTGGAGGAGAGCATCCTGAACATCGGCAAGTTCCACAGCATCGTCAGACTGGTGGCCTTCTCCCCGTTCAAATCCGCCCAGAGTGCCTTGGAGAATGTCAATGCCATCTCGGAAGGTGAGGCTGGGCTGGAGACTTGCTCCCCTTGGTGCCCTGTAGCTGCACAGCCCATTAACGTCTCCCTCTTCCCGGGGCAGGGATTCTCCATGAGGACCTCCGGCTGCTCCTGGAGACCAACCTGCCGGCCAAGAAGAAGAAAGCGTTGCTGGGAGTCAGCGATGCCAAGATTGGGGCTGCCGTCCAAGAGGAGCTGGGTTACCAGTGCCAGACTGGAGGGGTCGTGGCAGAGATCACGCGAGGTGAGACGAGATAGGGGCTCTAGTGAGGCGTGGAGATGCCAGACAGCCCCCTGGGGGGTGATATGCCTGGGTCTGTCCCCCAGTGCCCTGCGTGTGTGGGGGGGGTGTCCCTGTTTGCGTTGGAGGGGAGGTGCTGGGATATTAAGGGGACCCCAGTGCTCACTCCAGGCTGCGCTCACTCCTTGGCTTGTCCCGGGGGCGGGCGGGCCGGGGCGTGGTGCTCACTCCTTGGCTTGTCCCGGGGGCGGGCGGGCAGGGGCGCGGTGCTCACTCCTTGGCTTGTCCCGGGGGCAGACGGGCAGGGGCGCGGTGCTCACTCCTTGGCTTGTCCCGGGGGCGGACGGGCCGGGGCGCGGTGCTCACTCCTTGGCTTGTCGCGAGGGCGGATGGGCGGGCGCGGTGCTCACTCCAGGCTGCGCTCACTCCTTGGCCCGTCCCAGGATGGGGCTCGGTGCTCACAGATGTTCTGTGCCCGCAGGGATCCGCCTGCACTTCCACACCCTGGTGAAGGGCCTCACTGCCCAGTCGGCCTCCAAGGCGCAGCTGGGCCTGGGGCACAGCTACTCACGGGCCAAAGTGAAATTCAACGTCAACAGAGTTGACAACATGATCATCCAGTCCATCAGCCTGCTGGACCAGCTGGACAAGGACATCAACACCTTCTCCATGCGCGTCAGGTGAGGGCTCTCTGAGGCCGGGGGCAGCGCTGTGTGCCGAGCGCTCCGGCCTGCATTGCAGGTTCGTGTGGAGCCCGTGCATCGCCCCCTCCCGGTGCTTACCGCAGGCAGCGCGACGCCCAGCGCTGACTGCATAGAAAGGGGAGGAAGAGCATCTGCCCTGCCTACACCCCAGCCAGGGAGCCTGTGACCTGGGCTGTCTTGTTAGCAGGGAGACACGTCTGCTGCGGGGGAGGAGACGGCGGGTCCATCGGCTCCCCTCCCTGACTGCTCCCCTCTGGCCTCCCGCAGAGAGTGGTACGGGTATCACTTCCCAGAGCTCATCAAGATCGTGAGTGACAACTACACGTACTGCCGCCTGGCCAAGTGCATCGGGAACCGCAAGGAGCTGAGCGAGGAGAGTCTGGAGGGGCTGGAGGAGATCGTGATGGACAGCGCCAAGGCCCAGGCCATTCTGGACGCCTCTCGGTCATCCATGGGTTAGCGGCGCTTCTAAAACCATCCTGAGGGCTGGAGGGGGGTCTCGAGGGCTGGCACTGAGGTCTGAGGGCTCATGGGATGGGGGGGGGGTCAGTAGTGCTGGCACTAGGGTCTAAGGGCTCGATTGGGGGGGGGGTTCAGGTAGTGCT